CTCTCTCTCTCCACGTCTCTTGACCACGTCATGTCTTTTGTATATATTTTTTGTTAAACTTGTTTCTTTATAATTTCAATAGAGAATATATAATAATCTTACTACTATAAAATAATTAATGTATTGTGCGAAAGTTTGGATAGATGGATGTTTGTTGTTACTCAATAACGCTAAAACCGCTAAAGGGATTTGGTTGAAATTTAGCACAGTGATAGATTTTAGTCTGCAATAGCACATAGGCTACTTTTAATCCCGGAAAAATGTACGGTTCCCGTGGGATAGATTCGTTTTTAATCTTCACTAGGGACGAACCCAAGCGAAACGAGGGTGAACCGCTAGTTATTTATCTATAACTGATATATACTCGTTTATCTTGGCTAACTGCTACTTTAAGCTGATTTTAATGCTTTTTTGTTAAAAAAGCCTAAGATTTCTTTCGGTACCTACTTTTTTTTAAATATTTAAGTATAATTTCACAAATGTTGATTTTTTTTGTGTAAAGCATTTACTATAGCTAGTATATGACATAATGCGGTGAAAGTAATTCCGAAGTTCGTATAATAGTGTGCCATGTGACTCATTATGCAACAGGTGGTAATGAATGGTTTCATTGATAAAATTTTACAATAAAACTTCTGTTACATATTATCTCCCATTATTTTATAAATAAAGTACTTTAATCGATATATTTATTTAAATAAAGATTCAAGAAATCGATTCGATCGATCAATTAAAGAAATCAATAGATACATATTAAATAATAAAATCTTTTATATATAAAGCTGTTTTCGTTCTATTTCAATAGATTGCATAGTCATTTAAAGATAAAAGTTTATTTCACTCCAATTAAAAGGTTAGATTGTAAAGCGGAAAGTTAAGTTGCAATGAAGACCTAGAATAACAAATTAGTCTAGGCAACTTTTAAGGTCACGTAACAGAAATAAAAGCTAAGCCCGGCCTATAAGTTTAATGGTTCCGATGGAACACACGATTTATAAAGATCTTTTCATTCTAAATGTGAATGAATTGGGGCAATAAAAATAGGGCATTTTGAATAGATTTGTTCATACGGACGTCTGGCGCTTAAATAAGTTAGTTAGGACTTGCTTATATTTGGACGTTTCTGTGAGTAACAGATAGGCTTCTTCAAATATAATATTACTAGATACTTCATTATATTTTAATTGCACTGAGCTAATTTTTTTTGAATACTACGACTCGCCCTCGATCCGGTCGGGTTTGTCTTTTCTTATACGTCTTAACAATTAGTACAGATTTTTCAGAGATTAGATATTATCCCGCAGTAAAAAGTCCTATAACCTCCTGGGACCCGAACTATAAATTATTGAATTTAAGCAGCGTTTTTCTATTAACTGGGCTAATTGACGTTACACTAATGCAAAACTATCAATTAAATGTTACACAAATATCTATTTCAGGATTTTCAGGTGGTATCAAATATGATACTTTGGGACACATAAGAAAAAAATCTATTTTATTTCAATGTTAGTTTATTTTTAAATCAGTATAATTTTCACATTTAATGCTGATGAAAAGTTTTATAACAATCCCTAGTGAAATTAAAACATAAATAATAAATATACATCACACTCCTAACATATAAAAGTCAAAGCTATACAACTTTCGGTACCTTATTTTTCATTAAAATAGCCGTTCCGTTACATACTCTTTCTCTTACGATATCCAAAAGTGGTGAAGAGGTAAAATCCATGTAAATTGAAGTGCCTACTGGTATGGTATCCTGCAAATGCTATCCTACTATCTTGCTAATTGTTCAGGTGTTGGGTACAAAGCCGATTCCACTTTACCTTTACTTTAGATATTACTAGACCTTTAGGTATAAATCCAATGGTAAATCGTCAGAATTCACTGCGATATAAAGTTTTATTCCTTCTGGGTTTGGTTTACCTTTCACCAGTTGTTTTTTGACCCATCTTTTTGTGTAAGGTAAGATCTGCTTATCGATGGAGACATTTTTGTCGCGAACATTTTTACGGCACGCTCTCTCAATCTCTAAAACTATTGATCGTATTTTCCAGAAGCAGTCGTTAGATTGCGTAGATTCTAAAACATCAGCTTCATTTACGACTTTTAAGTACGAACGAATCTCAGTATAACGTCTTTTAGTCATTGCAGGTGCCATTAAGTCGCACTAGTTTCTAAAAGCCAGAATTGTTTTATCCTTGGCATACCTAACAGTCCAGTAACCATGCTACTCCCAAAAGACGTTAAATTTCTGCAGCAGCAGAGTTCACTGATTTTTCTGTGCGCACAAAAGACATGACATTTGGACAAAAATCCATGTTTGTAAAGAATTCAGCATTCAAGTACCACTCAAAATATTCCAATATCTTTCTAGATATCAGGCTTCAGGTTGTTCTCTGAGTGATTTTCACTGCACCTGATGTGAATGCGTTAAAAATGGCTTTAAAATCAGTTGTATTCTTCCAAATTACTGGCCTACCTATAGAAACATGCCTCGTTGAACGGGGCAGTAGTTGAAGCGGCTCATCATCAGAGGAATCGCAATCACTATTTGGTTCCTGCAAACTTGGCTGTTCCTCAATCTTATCTATATTCTGGTCTTGTATGCCATCCTCGTCCACGTCAGAGTCCTTCTTTTCATCATCGGAGACGTTGGAGTCCAATAATTCATGGGGAATTGTTTCGTCAGATATACCGGAAATCATTGTAAATGGTTAATATTATTTCCAATAGTGCCCAAAGTATCACATTTGATATGCTCAATTTATCGTATGATATTCACGTTAAAATAAAATTTTACGTTATGTACTTACGGAAAATCCAAATAAGAGAGCTTAACCTTTATAAGCAATAGTAAATTACTTAGGAATCCATAATTTAATAATTACTTACCCTTACGTAAAGTTGACATGGCGAAAACTTTGAATTTTGGAAAAATTACTGTCCTATCCTCTTAAACTTTAAGCACTTTGAAGTACGAAAATTGTAGTTATAAATCATTAAAGGTCTACTCTATGGCTTAAATAAAAAAAGTAGGAAAATATAACAGATGACGCTTTCACGAAGTTTTTAATTCAAGTATCAAATATGATACTCTGGTTCCCAAGAGGATATGTAGACCCGGATAACCAGCTTTTATACCAAATTTCATCAAAATCTGTCCAGTAGTTTTCTCGTGATGCGTTCCCAGACAGACAGACAGACCGACAGACAGACAGAGACAGACAGACAGATAAAACGGACAGACGGTTTTAGTTGCACAGTATATCAATGACAGTTTGTGCTATTAAAATAGCCTAGCTTTCAATAAAATAACGATTTATCAGAAGTTTTTCTTAAAAATTATTCTATTCAAACAAACAAACAAATTTTACTATTAACAATAATATAAAACATAATCCGTATATATATATATATATATATATATATATATATATATATATATATATTATTAAATTAACTAATTAACTTCCCTCAATTCCAAATAAATATTTATTAAAAGTACAAAAAGTTTTAAAAGTATGTCCTTATACGAATTGCAAGCATTTCCATACATCTAGCTGTACGAACTTACTCCTGTTGCCACGTTACCTAATCGACTTTGCGGTCCGTTACCGACGCACTAACTCCAAACAGACTCAGACTTCCTCAACTCTTTATAGTATTAGTTCAAATAACTATAGCACAATGTTGGACTTTGTCGAAGCTAATGGATCGCTATGCTTAGAACGCAAAACTTTTATGGATGAGTACAATTGAGTTACAAAAGTCGAAAATAGAGCTTTCCATTTGGCTTGGCTTTGTTTTGTTTTAATTAATAGTTACTATAGGTTTTAGTGTAAATGTATTTAATTCTCTAATATATAAATATCTCGTGTCACAGCGTTTGTGGTCGAACTCCTCCGAAACGGCTCGACTGATTTTAATGATTTTTTTGTATATTTGGTAGGTATGAGAATAGGTCGTAATTTCACCCTCCTACCCACACTCTCTATTTTTAATCGTAGTATTTTTGTATGAACAATCTAATCTAATATATAAATATCTCGTTTTTTATGTTAATCGACCAATTAAAAAAGGGTGTGTGCCTGTTTTTTGTGTATATTCACTAATTATGAATCTTTTGAATTACTTTTATTATTGTATTTTAATGAATGCATTATCTCAATATAATAATACAAACAATTTATAAAGGTTATATCAGTTTCAGGAAAAAGATTCCACATCAAAGGGTGGCATAATTATTATGAAGCGATCGTCATATTGTTATTTTTAGTCAAAAAGTTATTATTATGATAATAATTTTTGAAACGAATATATAATGAAATATCGGTTATTTATTAAATTATTGAAGTAAAACTATATATTAAGTAAGCTTATTAAGTGAAAGAAAAGAATGTGGTATGATAAAAATAAACGAACTAGAGGTCAGTTTATTTTTGGTGAAGGTTTGTATGAAGATAATATTTTTAAAACAAGGCTAAATGTATTTAAATCGATAAAAATTGTATTTATAAACCTTTTCCATATTTAAAATAGCTTTTTTTTGTTTTGGTAGAATTCTTGCAAGGCTCATTTTATTGACTAAAAAAAGATAAATGTTATTTTTTTATATGATTATCAAACTATTTTATATCTTGTTAATAATTTCATAAAATCAAGATAGGTATTTATAGAAAAAAGATTATATCGCGGTAATTTATTATGTATGTTTTAGTGAAACAACTTTTAACAATTCGTTTCATGAGTAACAACAAATTGCATTTTACAGTTTTACTTATAATTGTTAAATCTTAATAAAAATGATGCTTTAAGGGTAAAAAACCTATATTATTTCAGCATAGACAGATAGATATTATACTTAATCGTTGAACTTGCTTATATTTAATCGAATACTTTATATATAGATTAAATAAAACTATATTTTTTTTTTAATTTTATCGCGGTTTCACTTGGATTTATTAGTATTATAAATTATATTTAGTATAACTTACTTGGTGAATCAGCAAGTAGATCACCATCGTCCTGAGCGGGAGATTTCACAGAGCCCGGCGATAGTTTCACAGGTGGATGGGGCGAGGCAGTGGGCCCGCTGCCCACGCTACCCGCGCTACTTGTCGTCCCCGCGTTCGAATGAGATGTTGTGATTGTGATCTCACCGTTGGATGCTGCCAGCCTATTGAACAGATATATATTAATATCATTGCATAAAACAATAGCGATAAAATATTTTGTATATAGAGAAATAGTGACTTTTTTTACCATTTGTAGATTTTATATATTTAATTTTTTTATGTTAAAAAGACAGATTAAAACGCAGAAGGATGTTTTTTTTACTAAGTATAAAAGTTTCAAGAGTAAGCCAAGCCATAGCTTTTATTTACTCTTATATAAAATGGCGATTACGTTTGTCGGATGGTGAAGTAAGTGGAAATAAAACTTAGCAACTTTCTTAAAAATATGTATTTATTTATAAATTGTTATTTCTATAAATAACTATAACTTACATATACGTTACGAGTATAATACACGTAAATAAGTTTCAAGGTATATTAGTATTATGTTGCCGAGGTAACAAAATTAATAAAGTATGGATATGACATTAATTGACATGAAATACTTTGTACGTTTCCTAGAAATTTAAAGACACATAATATATCGAGTCTTAATGCGATAATATTTAAAAAATTATACTAATAAGGTATAAGGAGTATGATATTAAAAACGGTGGCCATTTTTTTTTCATCGTTTACTGGAAAAATAAGGAAACAGAATTATAATCGTTCATAAATATTTGTATGGTAAAAAAATTGAACGCATGACCTTTTTGCGCAGATGTTTCCCTGGACACTATTATTTTACGAACATTACTTTTTATATCGCACATTGTTAATAAATATCTATAAACAAAAATTATTACTTCCAGTGAATTATAAAGTAATAAAATTTAAGGGAAGACTTGTTTGTACTAATGCAGTGGGTTAATTCATATTAGGTAATGAACAAGTGATATAACGAAGTTTTTTAGTATTTTTTCTGAGTAAAGAGTGTGTGTACACACTTAGTTGATTATGAGTGAATTTCCAATACTATATGAGAGATTAGTGCAACTATGATAATTAGTAGCGGGATCGATGCTGTACTATGTAATTTCTTATTATAATAGAACAAACAATTGTTACAGCCTAATAACAAATGCGCTGTGTTAATTAGCGCAACGAAATACTTGACTTCATAAGTTTTTTCTTTATATTATGTATACAAGTTAGCTAGAGAAGCTTAATAAGTAAAAAATACATTAAAATGGTGGAAATACGTTAGCAAAAACGTGTTTTTTTCCGACAACCTAACAATAGTGTCGCATTTGTTGGTACAAGTGGCGATGCACGTATGGGGCGCGCTTCATTAAGTGCGCCGTTGCATTAGTGATAATTGCGGGCTAATTAGGGTCTCATCCGTTGCAATGAACGCATACAAACATAACTCTTTTAAACTTGATGCATGGGAACATGGTGTAAATTATGTGAAATATTCGACATTGTCATATAGGAAGTATGTACTTTCGTGTTGTAAAGTGTAATTTATAAGCCGGTACCTTGGTTGTAACTGTTTTTAGTACTTTTTTTTGGATAATATTTATCATGTTGTTTTAAAAAGTTCTGATTTAATACTTTTTAATAGGCAATGAATCCACACAAGACATAGCTTTTAAGTTTTATTTGATCAATGATCGACATTACTAAATGTAATATCCGGTAGGTATATTCACCTAGTATGAATCGCTATGATTTAGCACTAGTCTATAAAGAATGAGGATGGAGAACAATGTTTATCATCATATCAACAAAATACTTTAATGCCATTACGTAATTGATCGAATAACTAGTGCTACATATATTTCTAAAAATATATAGAAAAATAAATGATATTTCAAAATGTATATCATAAAAAAATAGCCAAAATAAGTGTGAGGTCGAACAGAAATTGCTATTGCTATTGCTATTAATCGTTGCACATTAATCTAGCGAAGCAATTTCTTACCACACACGGCCCTACTAGAATAAAATACACACATATACAAAAACGAAGTACGGACACTTGTAAACGCACACATGCGCACTAACATTAATTGTTCCTTCCATTTATCAACACGTTACATACTCGGGGAAGCTACGCCTTTTCGAGATAATTATTTTGAAAATAGCTGTTTAGACGCGAAAATGACGATCTGTTGACATTTGCAAACTTACTGCAATATTTTTATGTTAAGAGAAAAAAGCGGGATAACTGTTTGGTGTACTTAATTCTAACATACGAATGGTACTATGTGGGAAAAGAAAATTACATACACATTCTTGGTGAATGTTTATATTAATACTAGCGACTCACCCTCGCTCCGCTCGGGTTCGTCCCTATTTACGTTTTAACGTTTAGTATAGATTTCTCAGAGATAAGATATTTTCTTGCAGTAAAAAGTCTGTAGTAATAGTAAAGATGTTAACCCAGGTAACCAACTATCATCGTATCAAATTCCCTCCTCTTCTTTAAATTAAAATCAAAATCCCTCCAGTGGTTTCCCGTGATGCGTTCACAGACAGACAGACAGACAAAAATTCTAAAAACTATAGATTCGGTCTCTGTATCGATAATAATGTCTATTTCAATAAGATTTCCCAAAAAATATTTAATGTACAGATTCGGTTTAATTAGAATTTTATTATATGTATAGAAAACAGAAATATGTCTCAGCCTGACTTAAGTTAAATAATAATAATTATCTATCCTATTTAGTCTAAATATCTAGATCACATAGTATAAAATGAGATATATTTTTAAAGTTAAACACTTAAAATATAGTAAAACTCTCGTCCTAGAGCAACCACTAAGAACACTTCATCCTAATTCAAAAAGTAAACGGAAGAGTGAAGTGTAAAGAAATGAAGTCATAACGTAATATAATTTAGAAAACAAGTATTTTAGCTGGATATACGACTAATACTGTTGTTATCTGCTATGTCTATCATTTACATCTACACTAATATTATAAAGAGGAAAGATTTGTATTTTTATATGTTTGTAACGAATAAACTCAAAAACTACTGGACCGAATTAGATGAAATTTGATAAGAAGATAGTTCGAGACCCTGGAAAGGAAATTGAATTTCGAAACATCATTTTTTATTCCGGAAATCATCCATTAAGGGAGTGAAAATGTGGACGAAAGTTTGTATGGAGAATCAACCGAGGGACGAAGGTGAGTGAGTCCGGTGAGTCGCTAGTAATCCATGTGACTCAACTAGGTGACCAGTATCGAAGTAAAAAATACATTGTTAACAATATTATGTTGTCATTCACTAACATAAGTACCTGTTATAATGTTTTAAAAACAGGTAATTCTTAAGGAAATTATATATATGAATCATTTAATCATCAGTGGTATGGTAAAGGTCTTATTGAGGTCAATAATTAATTACAATTTAATAAAACCAACCATATAAAAATTATTTTATGCTTGACAGACGGACATTTCGTAACCGTTGCATGGATATATATATATATATATATATATATATAACGGGACATGTCCTAATTACCGTCTTGTACTTATTTATGATCTCTTGTAAAAAATTATTGGACTCCCGCCATAATTGTATGTGAGAGTCCTTCACAAAAAATGTAGTATGATTGAGAATTTTTTTGTTCGAGAACGTGTTCATGATTGTTTTAATAAATGTTGTATTGTCTTTTGATAAATGACTGATAATGGTGTAGCAAAAGTAAGATAAAGTGTTATATATATAATATATATATATATATATATATATATATATATAATTTTAATTAATTAAAAACTATGCAAATTTTAGATAAAAAGTGCGCAAGCGTTATGATTGCAAATTCCTGTTAAAATATTTTCGTAAAAAAAATCTGTTTGGGAACATGTAATAAAGGCGTAGTGTTAACAATAATTTGTAAACGTGGCGAATTGAGAACCTGTTCGCTGAATGCGGCTAAAATTATATTACAAGTTGTTTTACGAAACTTTTACGTAATTTAATAAAATATCTGCACGTGAATAAGACTGACAGTATAATTTTAAAATAATTATCGTTTATTTTGAGGCTAACTAGTAACTACATATAACGGTAAATTTGATGTGAAAAAGAAGATAACTAAGGCTTTTTACTTGTGTTTATCTCAATCTATTTCGTGTTCAGCTCGCCGCGTAATAGAAACCAAAAATTTGTCTTTTGTCTTTGACCGACTTATAAAAAGAGGAATTCAATTCGAGTGTATGTTTTTATGTGTAGGCTACGCGATAACTTTGAAATGGTTAATCGATTTTTATATATAGATTATATATCAAGGGTCACCTCTAAAGTTGGCTTTATAATAGATCAACTATTAAAAAAAAGATTGAAGTTGGTGCATACTTTTAGTTTATATATATATATATATATATATATATATATATATATATATATACAAAATAAACTAAACAAATGAAATGAATTACGAAGTGTGCAAATAAATATTAAACGTTTAGAATTAACAAATATATAATTAAATACTCAGTAAACATAATGTAAGAATAATTCGAAAGTGAAACATTTCGAAACATACTTTGTCGATTAAGTACAAATTTAATTAAAATTAATAATTTTATTGGTAGGTATATCGAATCAGAAATTGGCAGCACTTAAAAATGTAATAAAGATTATTATAACGGTTTTGAACAACTAGTAATGCCAAAGGTTTTTTATTCCTGGTATACACAGAAATTAAAAACAAAAAAATTCTTTTATTTATAAGTACCTATGTATTAAATTAAAAAAAAACATCTTACCTGTTTGTATTTTTTGTTATTAATAACAAGCGGCTCTAGCGGTTCACCTCTAGCAGAACAAAAACAAACCTATCCCACGGGAACCGTATATTTTTCCGGAATAAAAAATAGCCTATGAGTGTTATTCCAGACTATAATCTATCTCTGTGCCAAATTTCACCCAGATCTGTTCAGCCATTCTGGCGTGATTGAGTAACATACATCCATCCAAACATCTAGACTTTCACATTTATAATATTAGTATATATTAAATACTATATATTATATATTAAAAAATCAGGTGAAACCACAAATTTAAGTTATAATGGATAAAAGTGTGTACTTAATAC